ACACAGGACACAAAAGGGAAAGGGGGAATGGGAGGGAAAGAGTCAGTGTGGTATGCTGGTTAGAGTGTCAGACTATAACCTGAGAGACCAGGATTCAAATTTGCAAATACTGAGCCCAGATGGTGACTGGATGATCTACAGTATACCTGAAGGAGCATCTCCACCCCCATCGTTTGGCCCAGACACTGAGGTCCAGCACCGAGGGCCTTCTGGCAGTTCCCTCACTGCGAGAAGCAAAGTTACAGGGAACCAGGCAGAGGGTCTTCTCAGTAGTGGCTCCCGCCCTGTGGTTTACCGGTAATTAGCCAAAAGCCTGGGAGAAGAGGAATGTTTTCGCCTGGCACCTAAATATATGTAACGAAGGCACTAGGTGAGCCTCTCTGAAGAGAGCATTCCACAAGCAGAGAACTGCTGCAGAAAAGGCCAATTCTTGTGGTGCCACCCTCCAGACCTCTAATAGAGGAGGCACATGAAGAAGGGTCTCATATGATGATCACAGGGTCCAGGTTGGTTCATATGGGTAGAGGTGGTCCTATAAACTAACATGGCTATTTAACACAATCAGGTGATTCACACTTTGCTGTAAGCTGGATCTTTTATTTGAAGAAGTGCTACCAGCATGAGTTTGACCAAACTGCGGGAGGCAGTGGAAGACAGGAGTGCCTGGCATGCTCTGGTCCGTGGGGTCACGAAGAGTCGGACATGACTAAATGACTAAACAACAACAACAATTTTGTACGTATTACCTGATCCAGAGCACTAAAACATGGATTGCCACTCTATACCTCATAAAAATACTATTTCTGAGAATGAGCAATGCTAGCCTAGGGCAACATGATTGGAATGTCGAAAGAAACAGCCTTCTGACAGTGATCAAAGAACATAAGAAGATCCATGCTGGATCAAGCCAGTGTCCATCTGGATGGCCAAGAGAACCGCATAAAGAGGATCATGCTAAAACAACAAAGGGACATACACTATCCGAAGTGGCAACCTAAAAGGCAAAGAAGATTGTGAGCTTGTTGTCTTCTTTGGCATATTGGCATATTTTGCTGGATGCTGGGGATACGTGATAATAACTCTATTTCCTCTGATGAAATGTCATAGTCCGCAGATCCCAAGCTGTTTATGCAGAAGTTCCAGTAAGCCTTTGAGTGTCTCATACTTCCTTCCTTAGTGGTCTCTGTGAACTCTGTGTTCTTTTGAAAATGAACACTGGAAGAGAAAAATATACTAAAATACATTCGTTCCATCGTCTGGATAAATTAATCCAAAGGACAAGGACAGCTCAGTCCCCAGAAAGAGAGAAAAATGCAGTAAACACTTATGGGCATTCCACTGCCACTTTGAAGGCCGAGAATAGTCTGAGAAGATGTTTTCCTTCATGTTTACATCTTGACATTTTGGTTATCATTCAGATATATATTTGTCACAATCAGATGCTTTAATTACAAAGCTGATTCTGTCCTCTTCATGTTTACTTTGTCTATGAAAGTAAACCATGGATGAATCAGGTGCGCTGAAGATTTCATATGTTCCTCTAGTGGTTTCTGAAGTATTGTTCATCCCGCTACCACAAAGGGGGCAACCAAGACACTCCCTAGAGGGGATCTGCAAACTATCTTAACTCTGGCTGAGAAGTAATGGGGTGGAATGGAGTAACAGAGTCACTGCTACACCCATAGCCCCTGTCAAGGGTGCCAACTTGAATAAGCCCCACCCAGCAAAATTGATCACAAGATGTGGCACACACAAACCATTTGAATGGCAACAAGCATCAACTTTGTAGGGGCCCCAGGCCTTAAAAAAATCTAAGGTGCAGATGATATTGACTATTGGGCTATTTCACCTATGTGATACCTATAGAGGCAACCCTATATATATATACAGAGAGAGAGAGAGAGAGAGGGAGATACATAGATATATATATATATAGATATGATCAATGGTTGCAATTGGCCAATGAAGTATAGGATCCAGCTATGTGATTTACTGAGTCAGTAATGACCGCTCCCCACATTAAATGGGGGGGCACCCTTTACGTGGTCGTGCACAGCCCCCTGGACCCTATTTGGCACCATTAGCACAGGCTTGGCTTGGCCTTCCCCAGGTGGGATACCTGGAAGTCTCTGCCCACCTCAGCCAGTTGCCCAATCCCGCCTGGGGAGGCATTGCTAAATGGGGGTGGGTATGTAGTGGTGACCCATGTCCCCCTTCTCTTTGCGGAGGTGATCCCAGGGTTCCCCGTAAAAGGGGTTGTTTTGAGGGGAGGCTTTGGTCGTACGCCTAGAGGTTGTCATTGCTCTCCCCTGCGGCGGCGGAGTAACAGGGGTGGGCTCTCTCTGCTTGAATATGTTCTCCAGAGCCAGCCCATCCCCCCCACACACTATGGATAACCCTGATGTTCCCAGATCCCTGACGGGGGACTGGGAGGGAAAAACACCCAATGCCTGAGCCAAGGTCTACCCGCATCTGAAACATAATAAAATTGTGGCCAATTTTAATCCCATAGCAAGTTGTCTTGAGTCGTTATTCCACACAGGAGCTGCCCAGGGTTTGGGGGACTCCGCCTGTCCACGCAATAAAACATTCCAAAAAGTGTGGTCTATAATTACAAAGAGCTCCATGGTCTAAATCAAAACAATTGCAGGTTTTTATATCTAAAACAAAGATAAAAAGTAGCCTTGGACTGTACATGCAGACACTTGCACAGACCTGTGGCTCCTGAATGCTCCAGAGCCACTGTATTTGTATATAAAATAAAATTAGATCAAGTGACAAAGATGTAGTCTTGATCATTTTGGCCCCTGTACACTTTTAGCTTATGCAATATTTTTTTCAAGAAGTACATAGGTATTAGGTAACTTGTGCTAAAAGGTATTTTTATCACTTTACAAGCTACATTACCAAGATCACTAAACCAAAACATTTCATAACAGAGAGGCCGTAAATGGAAAGGTCCCCTAATTCAGTCTTCACTCTACAAATCACTCTTCACAAAGGAGATTTACAAACACCCACACCCATTCCAGAGGGAGACTGCAGAAGAACTAAACATAAACAAAAAGGAGACTTTTATATATGAGAATAAACAATTCTAACCTTGGGCTTCCCTTGGCTTTTCCTTTGTTTCAGCAACACAATTCCTGTCCTGACCACATGGTCTGAAAGTTCGGATCAGGTTCTGGCTGTGTGCAGGCCTATGGAGACCAGATGACAGCTACCTCTGAGCCTGGCACCTTGGAAATGTCAGGCAGGGAGAGGCAGGTACCTGGTGTTTAGCAGTCAAGCTCAGGTGAGAAAGAGGAACTGCAGAGGGATCCGAAAAAGCTAGATGAAACAGCTTAAACACCACATTGATCCGAGTAGACGCCATGTGATGAAACTCACCCTGTTAGCAGCTTTGAAGGCAGGCCTAGTTTGGTCTGAGCAACAAGGACACAGCTTGTTGCTAGGGAAGTTCACATGACTTTCCCACTCCTATGATGAATAAAATGTTCGTGTGGTGTGACAGGGGTGAAGGGAATACAATCATACCTCGGGTTACAGACGCTTCAAGGTTGCGCGTTTTCGGGTTACGGATGTGCCGAAACCCAGAAGTACCAGAATGGGTTACCTCCAGGTTTCAGCACTCACACATGCGCAGAAGCACTAAATTTTGCATTGTCCATGCGCAGAAGTGCTGAATCACAACCCGCAAATGAGCTGTGGGTTGCGGACACTGCGAGCGTGCCTCCCATTCACAACCCGAGTGTCCACTGTAGTCCCAGCATGCAGCAGGAATTCTTTGCTATCGTGCATACATTTGGCTGGTGTGGGAAAGAGCTAAATGTGCATATGGTTGTGAGGGCTTTATGAGCGTACATCACTTTTTCATAATGTGCAGAAGACAGAGAAACATTTCTACAGCACGAGGTTGTGCCAGGGGCACAGCATAGGCATGCATCACTTGGGGCTAGCCTTGGTGGGTCTGCGACCCCCTCCCATGCCCCTTTAACGCACAGGCAACTGTATAAATCTCCATATGTTCCCATTACAGTTTAATTGGCTTTTTGCCACCTTACCTTTAGCCTCTTGGCGTTCTTTCCCCCTGAACCTTCATGCCCTGTGTATTTCTCACTAACAGAGCAGGAGCTTTGCCAGTTAGCCACGTCCTCCGCCGAATCTAACGACACGGCTGACTTTCAAGGAAACGACAACAACTTCTGAGTGATTATTATTTTTTTTAATAATATTTATTGCTTTTAAAAGTTACAAAAAAGTAGAAAAAAGAGAGAAAAAACAAAAAAAGAAAGAGAAAAACAATACAATATATAAACAATACAAGCCCACCCTAAACCCATTAAACTAAACACATGAACAAAGTAAGACAAAAACAATTTAAAAACATCCCTCCTTTTCCATACTCTGTCCTTCATTCCCTTGTTTCCTCGACTTCCTCACACCTCCCTTCTTGTATCCCGCTTCTAGTATTTGTTTCAGCAAATCCTTTCCATCTTTCTCTATTTTCTGTCATATTATGAATAACATATTCTTTAACCTTATTTCCCATTAACGGTTGATTACTTATATACACCCAACTTCTTATAGCATTTCTGCTAAATCCATAAAATATCATTCCACCGTTTTTCTGACAGTCATTACTTTAACAAAGTTTCTAAATAAACACTTTAAATTTTCCATTAATCTTCCACTATCTCCTCTCCCTGGCTTCGGATTCTGCCAGTCCTTTCCGTCAGTTCCATATACTCCATCAACCTGGTGCCCTAATATCCGAGGCTCTTAAATCTCTTCCAAGTCCCTTCTGCAGGTCTTCTTCATATTATTTGATGCTCAGGAGCAAATCTCAGGAAAACTCCAGCCTAGAAATACTTTTGTTCCTTCTGGACAGTTCAGCCAAATTTCCAAAGTTAAAAGTAAAGTCCATAGAGTGTTTCAGAGCGTATTTCAGGATTCCTCCAATTCTAGCGACCCCCAAAACTTCAAACTCCTCCAAGCCCAGGTCCATGTCCCAAAAGTCAGTCAATCCCTGGATAGAGGGTTCTTTCCAACTTTCCTTCTTCAATCTAAGCCGGGATCCTAGCCTCAAAATTTGACTTTTGCTAGATTCAGTCATGAAAGACCTCAATTTATAATCCTCAATCTGCTTCTGAGAAATTAAGGATCCCGCTTGTACTACTTTTGGTTTCACATCATCATCAGCTTTCTCCTTTTTCTCCACCATTTTCACATCATCAGCTTTCTCCTTTTCCTCCACCATTTGTTCAACCAAGATATGTTCCTGTACCAAATCCTGAGTTGTTTCTGTATTAACACTCACTTTTTGATTCAAATTAATCACGTTCTGTTCCAAGTTGTCAATTTTAGAGATCGTGTCATCTGTCTTTTTATGAAGCTGTTCCAGCGAGTAGTTTATCTTGTATGATACCGTTACAATGGCTTCTCCTATCAACATTTTGAGTGATCCAAGGTCAGACTCTATTTTTCAGAATCTTATCTTGCAGCTGGAGCTCTCCCTAACAGTTTCACATGCTCCCTCTAGAGGGAAACAGTCTCCATTTGTATCAATTCTTTCAAACACAACTCAAGCAAGTAACAATAGTTTCAATTTTCAGTTACTTCTCCTCCATTTTTAAACGCAGAAGAGGACAATGGAGACAGTACCTTTCTTATTTTAGCTAGCTGTCAAATCCGTTCTGTCAATAAACATTCCCCAAACGTCATCTGGCAGCTCTTTTCCCGGTTCAGAGCAGTGGCGATTTAATTTTGACTCTCTTCTGCAGGCACACTAAATCCAAAACTTCCCCTCTCTTCTCCTGCTTCCAAGAGGGGTTATATATTCTTGTCCGGTGGGAATTTAATCCTTTATCAAAAGCTTTCAAAGACTTTAGCTTGTAACGTCTTTGCTTCAATCTATTTACAAAACGGGAGGCGGACTTCCTGTTTAGAGCCTTCCCGCTTCAGCGCCAAATTAAAGTGTTTCAAGGTCCAATTTTCCGTTCTACTCACGGGTAGTCGTTTAAAATCCAATTGTCCACAGGAAAAAGTCAGCGCTCTCCGGCAACAGCAATGCGGCTTCACTCCGTGAAAGAAGCGGTCGATTCAAAGCACCGCGCCGCTCACCCCACGTCGCTCCGGATCCCCAAAACAGGGTTTCCCCGCGAGTAGGGGGGGCGCAAATGGTGCCAGCCGAATCCCAGGTTCACAGGCTTCTCCCGCCTGTGATTTCTATGGGTCTCCGCCTTCACCGTGGCGGTCAGACCCTGCTTTTCACGGAGCAAATTCCTCCCGATCGGAGGAATTCAGCCATTGCCGGAGGCGCCTCCCCGGAAGTCCCAACTTCTGAGTGATTAAATCTGCTTTAGCTAAGAATATTTTGGAATGAAATTCATCAGGGCCACCATGTGTTTTAAGAAACAAAGTTCTTGTGGCATGAAAATACAAAGGCAAACAAAGTTAACGATAAGCATAGTATTTGTGGCCTAAATTTATATTTAATATTTTGCAAGCCTATTTGATATTCATAAAGAATGCGTTGGCAGGTCGCTTAGTGCTGAATATTCTTATCTTTTCTCCCATGGGGAAAAAATGCAGGTTGGACTGGAGATCATTTTCAGCAGAAAAACCACCAGCAAATTCCACTGGCTAGACACTCTGTGATGAAAGACTCCCTTTTGCTCTTCCCGAAAGCAATTCCAATCAATTCCCTTGGGAAAGCTGTGGTTCTAATGTCATGAGAAACATAAAGAATTATCTCTGTTCATTATTTTCCATGCTTTGGGTAATTTGATAATCTCTGACATGCCCCCCTTTTTAGTCACCCCCAACATTTTAGATTTAGTTTATAGAGAGGATGCTCCAGTCTCTTGATCATCTTTGCACTCTTTCCAGTTCTATGGAATTTGCCTTGTTCACATTGTAGATCTTTATTCCCCCCCTTGTTCCTGATGCAGAGCTTCACTTACCCTTTCTTCCCTGGTGGAACGGGAGCATTTTGTGGTGCACCTCAGGTGCCAAAATGTATTGGCCCAGCCCTGCCAATAAGCTGAAAGATAGGGAGGGGAAACTCTTCTCTGGCTCAAATGAAAATCCAAGTTCAATAAGGATTCAGGAGCCATAATTTTAGATTCACAACTGGAAGTGAACATGATGAATCCCAAGGGTTCTTTCTGGCCTCAGAGCTACATCAGTACTTGTTAGTTCCCACCGCTTCAGATAATATTAATGTGCATATGAAATTGACAGTTGTTGTCCTAATGAACATTACCTTACGAGTAGCCAGATGTTTTGGACTATAGTTTCCATCAGCCATAGACAGGCTCCACAATATCTGGATGAAACCACATTGGCTAGTGCTCTTCTATACATGCACTGAACATAATTTGCCATTTCGTTTCTAATTCAACTGGTTTGGAAATGTTCCTTCTGTAGTTCTTTGCAGTACATTTTCATTTTCATCTCCTTAATATTTTAGTGCTATCAGGAGGTTTACTATATCACCACTTATTCCTGACCATTCATTAAATAGCACCATACCCAATACAGAGCCCTGAAAAATATCAATGCTTATGTTCCTTTCATTTTGAGAACTGCCCATTTATTCCTGCCCTCTACTTTGTTCTTTAAACTGTCCTCTTCTGCCATGACAGTGTTGATACAGAGTAGAAAATACGAAGTGTAATGCTCATTTATGACATTCTTTTCCAATGCCACCTTGTTAAAATTGCACTGTTGAATCTAGTTCCTTTCACAGAATACAGAGTGCATTGAGAGGTAGGTTACATTGCAAAATTCAGGGCAGTTGACCTGAAATGGTCCAGCTATTTTTTTCGATCTTGCAAAACAAAGTGAACATAGGAAAAACAAAAGACTAATTAACAACATTTATATAAATGTACAATTCCTGGTGATATGATGTCAAAGTGAATGGCATTCATAGTAAATTAGCATTGTACAAGCAAACATGGAGACTAACAGGCAGCCAAATTCTCATTTAAAAAAATATTTAGATTTTCCAAGCATCTTTCAGATTCCTTTTTATTTAGAACATTTGGCTTCCTATATATTTCAAATATGTGTGTATATACTACCTGCCCTTCCCCCTTCTGATGCTGCTGCTGTGAGTGGCAAGGCCAGGGAGTCACATCTGTGGCAGCGGCATGTTATGATTGCTCCACAAACTGGGATTAAGAGCCTTCTTTTTTTGTTCAGCCACAAAGTTGGATTAATTGGTTCAAATAATTTATTAAGTGCATGATTCAACTAAATAGCTGAACTGGTGGGAGCTAGCACAGTGACTCCAGCTAGTGCAACGAAACTTTCCATGCTCCCCATCCCCAGGACTGGTTGGATGAACTCCCAGAACAGAATGCAGGGGAAAGAGCGGGGAGATCGTTTTGTCTGGCAAACAGACCTACTTGAGCTGATGGAACAATCACCTTAGCCTGATGTTGAATTGCACCCTAATAACTGAACATTTCATCAGAGGTGGGGAAGAAGATTGGAGACAAGGCCCTGCTTGCTCTTTACAAGACAACAGGCAGAGGCTTATCTCCAGTCTTAGCACAGTGGGGGTCACAGCACTAAGATCAGACATAAGCACCTGCTGCTGCATTTTACCATCAAAGAACAAGCAGAACCTTATCTCAGATCGAAGCATAACATACCATATGTCATTAGGTTAAAGGTAAAGGGACCCCTGAACGTTAGGTCCAGTCGTGACCGACTCTGGGGTTGTGGCGCTCATCTCGCTTTATTGGCTGAGGGAGCTGGCGTACAGCTTCCGGGTCATGTGGCCAGCATGACTAAGCCGTTTCTGGCAAACCAGAGCAGCATACGGAAACGCCGTTTACCTTCCCACCAGAGTGGTACCTATTTATCTACTTGCACTTTGACGTGCTTTCGAACTGCTAAGTTGGAAGGAGCAGGGACCGAGCAACGGGAGCTCACCCCGTCGCGGGGATTTGAACTGCCGACTTTCTGATCGGCAAGTCCTAGGCTCTGTGGTTTAACCCACGGCGCCACCCACGTCCATGTCATTAGGTTACCGGCCTGAAATTGCCTTGTGGGTGCAATTCAGAGTTCTGGTGGGCCTGATTAGAACTACAGGCCATAGGTTCCTCACAGCTGCATTCCATAAGTGCAGAACCTGTTTCTCTTTGGTCAATGGTGTTTTGTTCTAATCAGTTCTAATTTGGAGAAGTGTGGAAACTGAAGGATTCTAATGTTCATATTAATTCAGAAGTATGAATCATATTGTTTCCCATAAAAAAAGTGTATTGAATGAAATCTTTGAGCACCCCTAGTCAGTATACCATAAAACTGTAGCATCAAAGAAGGATCCAAAAGGTCTTGTCGTGAGCGAGGGCCACCCACCCACCAACTCCTCAGAACAAACATGCTTGATCCTTCCAGACCTTCGTGTGCCATAAATAGATGTGTTTCAGAAGGTGCCAAGCCACAAAAGTCAAAAGAAAACCATAACATTGACATTGACCTGGGGAACGTCAGCTGATCTTGGGAAAAATTCCTTCCTGACACCAAATATGGTGATCAATCAGACTCAAGAAATGATGAGCAATCCCATCTGCCGAGGCTTCCCAAGGGAAATTTGTCTGGAGGACAAATCCCCATTGGCCAACATCTTATCCCTGGTTGTCACGGTCCCCTGACAAAGTGAGAGGGAAACCAACACTATGTGGGATGGGAAATTTCTACTAAATGGGACTTCATCAGCTGGAAATGACACTGGATGAAACTGATGTAAAGCCTATAAGATAACCATGAGCACACATGCTTTTCATAATGGTCTTTGTTAACTTGTAGGAAGTGGCTCTGAAGCAACATCCATTATATGTATATATATTTTAAAAATACAGTTGAGATCTGTGACAAAATACTGCTGTGGGTCCTGACATCTAACAGTAGTGCTCCTGGTCAGATTTCAGCAGGCCTCTTTCCCCACTGGGATACAAAATAACTGCAGAGAGCTGAAGTAGTAGCTGTGGGGAGCAAGAGAAAGCTCTCTCACTTCTGCCTTTGCCCCCTACTCCTCCCCTGGAGGCAGTGATGGCAACCATGATGGATGGCTCTAAAAGAGGATCATGGAGGAGAGGGTGATCAACGACTACTAGTCAGGATGGCTGTGTTCTACCTCCACAGTTGGAGGCAGCAGTGCTTCGGAATACCAGTTGCTGGAAACCATGGGAGAGGAGAGGGCCTTTGTGCTCATGTTCTGCTCCCTGATTTCTCACAGGCATCCGGTTGGCCATTGTGAGAATGGGACACTGGACTGGATGGGCCGTTGGCTTGATCCAACAGGTTATTCTTACGTTCTCCACTCTCATGAGGTATGCACAGTTTTTGCTTTCTTTGAGGGCTTTTGTATCTTCTTTCATTTTTAAGTTTTCATTTTTTTTCTTTCTTTTGGGGGTTTTGTATCTCTTTTCATTATTATCACTGTATATTTTATTTTTCTTGAGCATGCTTTGGAAGTCTTCCGAGTCCCCTGTTGCATATTTATTTGTGTTGGAGTGCTGCTGTTTTCAGTATATAAGCAATAGCACTCTACCCCTGAAGAAAAAGATGAATGAAGATGACCCTACCAATTATGCTAGAGGACGTTTCTTCTTTTCTTGCCTTACATTATGCCTTTTAAAATCAGAGGTGGATGACTCTTTCATTGTTAGTTTCTCTGCATTTTTTATTTTTTCCAGTCTTCCAATCAGTTCACCACATTTCTGTATGTATGAGTTTTCACTTTTAAAAAATTCCTCATTAAAGTCTGTTAGCATTTTAGTGTATATTTGTCCCAATATGCCCATGTTTGTAAGCCATCTCCCCTAATATAATTTTCTTTGTTACTTCCAGTAATCAGTTAGGGTTGCCATATTTCAAAAAGTGAAAATCCGGATATGAAAGTTGTTGAGCTCTTTTTCTTTTGGCCCAAAGTTGTTGGGCAAAATCTCCAAGGAAAAAAAAAGTTTTTAACCTTTTTTAAAAAGGAAAATCACCAAAACCCCCAACACTTCTGATATGGACTGCCAGGCACCTGGGTTTCCCCAGACATTTTTAGTCGCATTTAGACAATTCCACCCAGATGCCATTTTCGAAGCACAAATCCTGGGAAATTTGGGACGCATGGCAGCCTTATAATCAATGCATTTTTATGCACACTTCTCTCTAATACATACATTTTTGTACACATATTTTGGCAGAAGAATTGCACTGCAAAATTTAGAGAAGTGCAATGAAAGTGTTTTCATCTGCATTTTTTTTTGGGGGGGAATTAGGCAAACTAGGTGCACAGAACCAAATTTCTCCCCTGCTCTCTAATTTTGCATATAGCACTGCTTTTTGTTAGTGTTCCATTAGCCTATAGAATAAAAACAAACCTGAAAAGGCAATGTTAGGAAGGGAAGCCTTTCCATTTCAAAAATGTCAGGGATATTGTCCTTTTTCGAGGGGTTTAGATGGCTGAGTCTGTGTCTGCTGACATAGGCAGGCTGTCCCCACTGAAGAGGAGAGGGCTTGAGTATAGAGGGGGCTGAGTCACTGGTAACCAAGAAACAAACTCTTTCTGAGACTGAGAGACACAGACAGAAAGGGAGTGAGAGGGAGGTCCGAGACAAGTTACCCATTCCTCCTAGCCATACACCAGCATATCTTGATATGTTGACCAACACAATTCAATACCTGCTGAATCAGCCAATGTCATTTACATATTTTGCATGCCAACCAGTGTTGCCTACTATACAGTATGTTCTAGGAAAGATGGCCTCTCGTAACAAAAAAGACAGCTGCCTGTTGCTGTCCCGTCATAAATCACTGCACAGTTTTCCTTTAAATAGACTTGGATTTGTGGAACTGCCCCCCTGTCCCCATCTTAAAAGTAAATAGTTCATTAGTGGGAGGAAGAGCACACAAGAGAAATAGGGCCTTTGGGAAACATTAAACTTCTATATCCAGCGTAGTTTCCATCTGTTTCAGCCATGCAAGGATGTAAGTCATGAACCTTGAGGGCAGAGGTCAATGACTCAGCACGTTAGACTTCTGTGTGAGCTTTAAATTACCCACTGGCAACGAACCCTCGGCATTTGAGGAAAGAGTATTTCAACTCTTTAGTCATATAAATCCCCCCTCTCTTTCTATATATATGAAAGCTGCATCCATCCCCCTCCAAAAAAAATCAAGACAAAGATCTTTAATATTAGCACAATGTGGTCCTTCAACATGACTAGAAGTGACTGGGGCTTTCATGTTGGTACCAAAGGGATTAACTTGTTATTTTAGCATCTAATTCAATTTTCTCTCTCTCTTTTTAAGAGCCAGTGAATGTACTGATATTGCCAGAATCCCATGGATCATTGCATGCAAGGGCTGCCATGATCTATCTGCCTAGGGACACAAGGCCACAAAGTGGATTATGCTCCAAGGGGGAAATACGTTTTATCAATTGTTCTTTATTTATTTTCATTTCTATATTGCCCATCCTCTTACGGGAGCTTAGTGGAAACCGTGTAAGACTTCAACCAATACAATGAAATCATCTACAGAGTACATTTTTACCTAGTGCAACTCCAGCAGCTGAAATCTGAGTAAACATTCATGTTTCAAAGGCCCAGATGAACAGCAATATCTTTAACTGGCACCTAAATACCATCAGCATAGGGAACAGACATACACTGTCAGGGAGGGAGTTTCACAAATGAGGGCCTGCCATGGAGAACACCCGTCATTACTCACCACCCTGCAGACCATAGAAGTAAATAGGAATCCACCTTATATCTCCATATAAGGTGAACAGTCCTACTATATGTCCCCCCAAAATGGCCTAGGAACAGAATGGAAAGATTCTGGAAGACCATTGGTTTATCTATATTGTCTGCACTGACTGGAATTGGTCTCCAGGGTTTCAGGCATGGTTCGTGTTATGTATTCATGTAGTCTGTTTTTGCCTGAGCTTGAGTCTGAACTAAGGATTCTGAGCTCCTGTGTTCTAATTCAATACAGGATATCCAATCACAGAACATTTCAGGATTTGGGCCTCTGCCATTGGCCCTTAAACTCTGAGCCATGAGTTGCAGCTTGGAAGTTTAGACAGCCAATCATGTTGGGAGTGGGAGTGGCCCAGGTCTTCAGAAATGTATATGAGCAGTTCTTGCTGTTATCACTGTGTCTTGCCTTGTGGGAACCTACCTACACTTCAGGTCTCTTCCAATTGTAACTGGAGATACCAGGGAAGTGGGGGGGGGGAGGCAAAAATTGAACAGGTGGAAATACAATTATGTATGGAAATACAGTATGGAAATACAATTATAGGAAATGCTTCATCTGTTGACATTCTGTCTGCAAGACATCTTATTACACCCATCCACAATGAGGATACAAATTTGCATATTACACAAAGCATATGCTAATGTTGCACAAATCTGTGACCTCTTTTGCAAGTCAAGCAGAGACCCTAATCTGCTTCTAGGTCTAGAAAATCCTGTTGGCATCCCTGCTTAGATATATTTTAATTTTATTTAATTATTCATATCCAGTGATCTTAGAGGAGGGACTAAAGTGACAGCTATCTCAGGCAGGAAAGGTTTGATGGGCATGGCTCCTAATGTTTTCTTTCCAGGCTTCTAGGCTGTTCCTAGGCTGTTTATTT